TAAGATAGGAGTCATCACCTCTCTAAATTTAAATTCTACTGATATATTATTTTATTCTTTTATTACGTTACAGGTGTGAGCGTTAGCTTACGCTTTAAACGCCTAAAGCTTTTATTACGTTACAGGTGTGAGCGTTAGTTTACGCTTTAAACACCTAAAGCCCAAGTCCTTTAGTGGACGTGGCAAGAGCAAAGAAGCCACAAAGCTTTTAAACGAAAAGCTTTGAAAAGTAGAGATGGTCCCTAAGGACCATCATGTTCAAACGAATCATCATGTATTAAAAGTTTATTTTCTTCTTTTCCTTTTTTTTTTTTTTGAAAGTTTATGATTGTTACAGAAACACATGACAATGTACGCCTCAGCCTGCAAAATTGTAGGAAGTCATGATCAAGAGGTCGCTAAAGCCATAATCTGTGGATTCACAGGATGGCTCAGAGGTTGGTGGGACTTTCACATGAATGAAACCGCCAAAAATCAAATTCTTACGCCAAAAGACAGTGGACTGTGAAAAATGAACATGATCAAGATATACCGTATAGCGAAAGTGACGCTGTTAGTACCCTCATATGTACAATAACTCTTCATTTCATTGGTAGTACTTCACTCTTAGAAGCTCGAACCGAAGATTTATTATCAAACCTCAGATGTCCTACCTTATCACACTACAAATGGTATAAAGACATATTTTTCTCTCGCCTGCTAACTAGAGAAGATAGCAGTGATGACCATTGTGCAGGTTTACCCTATCTTTTTGCTGAAAATGTAAAAAATAGACTCAAAAATAAAAATGGGAGAATGATACCCTATTCAAATTACACTTTAGGTGAATTGTCAACTGAGATGTGTGCAGAAGGATTAGCCCTATGTACAGACGTTAAATTGAAAAAACAATTAGATAAGCAAAAAATGACAGGAACGAAAGAATTAGGTGATTTTTGCGAACAATTCGGATATCATATAAATACTTCTCCAAATAAAATATATAAAAGGCATAGAAAAATAGAGAAAAGAAATAAATCTGAAAAACAGAAGAAGTCTAAGAAAAATAAAATAGAAAAATTTGCAAAGAAATACTTTAGCAAATATAGAAAAGGTAAAAGAAAATTACCAGTATGTTATAAATGTGGAAAAATAAGGCATTATAAAAGCAAATGTAAAGTCAAAAGAAAAATAGATGCTCTTATGCTAGATGAAGATTTAAAATCTAAAATATATAATATTATATTAATAAATGAAGAATCAAGTACAGAAAATTCATCAGATTCTGAATCTTTAATAGGTATAGTCGAAGATGAAAATTTAATAAAAACAAGCTCAACTTCATGTTTTGCATTCTCTAGTTCTGACGAACAATTAAAAAATTGTTTTTGTAATACTGATAAGAAATGGAAATTAATGTGTCTTCATTCTGCTCATCATCAAGAGAGAATATAGATTCCAAGTCATCATCAACATTTTCTTCCAAATCTTAGGATAAAAGATTTATGATTTTTCTCTTCTTTTTCTAGTTAGGACAATCTTTTGCAAAATGTCATTTCTTTTCACATACATAACATCGATCACCTTTCATCCTATTTTTTCGAAATCTGGATCTGGGAAGGTATTTAAACCTTTTGAATTTCTTCTATTTCCTTTTTTGGCCAATCTTCTTGTTTTTTCCAAAAGGGGGACAAGCACATAGTTTTTTCGAATCACACTTAATCTTGAGATGGGGTTTAACACAAGATTTGCCAAGAAGGTGCTTATTTTTCTCCACCTGTTTGACAAATTCTACCTGATTACATAACCTTTCCAAAGCATAGAGGACAAACCAATAAATTTCACCAAAAGAAACATTTTGAACTGTCAATCCTTGGTTTTTCATAGTTTTTGTTGCTTCCTTTCCAAGAGTAGGAGGAATAGACTCAAGATAAAACTGCTTTAGGTTCACATCATCAATTCCACCAATTTTATGGTAACGCTTATTCATTTCAGAAAAGTGTTTCTCTAAATCATGTCTTTTAAAAGAACAACACTTAAGCTGAAAGAATTCCTCACGGGCTGTAATTTGTTCATGCTTTACAGGGCCAGTGAATTCAGCTACCAAATAATTCAAGAATTCTACAATGGATTGACTGTTTCTTAATTGTGTTTGACGGTATTCTCCAAGACTTAAATACTAATCAAACAATCTTCCTCGAAGTCATACCAAGACTTTGGAAATTGTGCTTGCTAATGTATTTGCAGGGTTTAGCATTTCTACATGCTTCCATCTTTGTATTTCTCGGAATCTTTCAGTCCATTTTGAAGGAGGGATGTCATCAATTGTAAAACCTTTAGATGAATCTCCATATGTAGGGTTTTGAGGTATAGGTTCTTCATCTATAAGTGGGTCTGGGTCTGGGTCAGCAGGTTGTTCAGGGGGATCCATCATGAACAAAGGGTCTGAAGAAACAGAGAATGAAGAGGCTAGGAAACTTGTTGTGTCAGAAGATTCTGAGACAAAATCAGAGGATTGGGTTTCTGTTTGAAGGTTTAACTCAGGTTGTTTGGTAAGGTTTTTAAAGAATGAACTCATATCTTGCAAAGGTTCTGATTGAGTAAGGTGTTGGGTGAACACAGAAGATGCAACAATATCAAAGTCAGAATCTGATGCTTGAAGCATTTGAGTTTCATTTGTAGGGAGGGTTGGAGGTTGTGTCACAGGAGTAGAAGGTTGCTGTTGAGTAACACGAGGAGGTGTTGGTTCAGGTGCCTAAGAGGTAATTGGGATAGTAACATTTGGCTTTTTTCTTAATTGAGGAAAAAACATTTCCTCCGAGAAACGCCTTTCACCATCAAAAGCATTTGAAGATTGAAAGCCATACTGTCTAGGAGGTATTAGGCCAGTAGGAGGGTAAATGGTTCTTGTAGGAGGAAAAGGGTCAGAATATCTCAAAGTTGGGTAACTTGGGATATAAGGAGTACTTGACAAGGGTTGAAGTTGAGGCAGGTTAGGAGAAGACTGGTATGAAGTTTGAAGGTACTGAGATTTCATCCATAGGTCTTTTTCCAAGCGTTGTAGCTGTGTTTCCAAAAATGCTTTTTCTCTTCCTTTCTGTACCAGCAAGTACGACTGTAAATGTGTGTCCTTAACAAAATGGAGAATCAGCATTAGCTCCTCATGCAAAGATTGTATCTTTTCTTTCAAATCAGTAATTACGCTAACTAACCCTTTTAATTGAGAAGATATCAGATTTTGTTTTTCCTCAAGTTGGAGCAGGGCTAAGTTCTGAGACTTAGCATTTCCGGCCTGCTAGTTAAGGCTTGCTTCGGCTGGGGAAATAGTCTTTAATGTGCCTGACGAATCTCTAGTGCTAATTTATTTTCCACACATGCTTTTCATGTTCTTGGATTTTCTCATAATCATGCAAAGGAGGAAAATTAATAGCATAATTAGATCCCTGAGGGTCAAAAGCCATGCGGTCAGCAATATTAGGTTTATCCTTAGTATCAGGTTTATCATCCCATCCAGTAGGAATAATGGGTCCAGTAGGGTAAGGAATGCGATTGCCATAGGTAACATAGTAATCCCATTTCCCGAAAGGTTCACCAAGTAATCCAACTGTTGGATCTCCTTCGATATATTTCTGATGGAGTTTTTGTTGGGAAGAAAGTTTCTTTTTCTTTTGAGACAATTTCCTTTCTTTCTTCTCGTCAAAGCCATCATCATTTTGAATGCACGTAGGATAATCACAACAATCAAACCAATTGTGTCCATCCACAGTTTTTTGCTCATAGATGGGTTTTCCATTTTTATCAAAAGCAATTACTGGGACTTTTTCAAGGAATCCTTGGAATTGAGTGGGGAATATTTATCTGGTATCATTGGATGAATGAAAATCTATTTGGATAGTTCCATCTTGCATCCTGGTCATTCTAGATTCTGATTGTATCACCGCCTGACTCTGGGTTTGTAAATTTTCATAATTTGTGACCCAAGAGGAGGGAATCAATTCAAGCAATCGTGCCCTTGAAATTTGTCTAGGGATGTAATGGCAAACAGGTTGGGAATTGTTATCAACTTTGTTGAACAAGGCAGTATTTTCACATTCAGGGGGTAAAGGTATAACAATGTCAAAAGCTTAGGTAGGGGTCTTTGATAGGAATGTTGAAATTAGGAAACAAGGCAACAAAGATGGTGTCAGCATTAAGAGTTGTTTGGATAGTACCAATGCATGCATGCTGGTATTCTAGAAACCGGGTATCTAGCAATGCAATTCTAGTTACAACTTCCATTCTTTTCCTACCATGAAAGGTTTAGGCTAGTTTAATAATGTCTAAGGTAAGAGATGAGTTTTCTGGCATGAAAGTTGAAGCAAATGTGGTAATTTTGGGTGAGATACCAAAGAAAGCAAATAACTTCTTTTGGTATGTTATAAAAGTGCCGGGTTTGGAAAAGGGACAGAAAAGGGTAATTTGGATGGCATCGAATTCCTTGTATGCAATCTCCGTGATTTCTGACTACAATTTCATGCATTTTTTGTTGCATTAGATCATTCCTGGATATTAAGGTTCTTTTGAGAATATCTTCATGAAGTTCATCAGGCAGGTCATGCTCATTATCATCAATGGTGATAATTGCACCTAAAAAAGGAATAATAGAGGAGAGATTCTCTTCTGAAAACCTTTTTCTTGAGAACATATTAGCCAAAATATTATTTTTCCCTGAAATGTGCTTATATTAAAAAATGGTAGGTAACCATGATCAGGAAGTAGCAAAAGCCATAGTCTGTGGTTTCACAGGATGGCTTAGAGGATGGTGGGATTTTTACTTAAATGATACTACTAAAAATCAAATACTCACCAACACTAGACAATGGATAGTAAAAAATGAACAGAATCAGAATATACCATACAGCGAAAGTGACGCTGTTAATATTCTCATATGCACAATAACTCTTCATTTTGTAGGGAGTACAGCCTTGCTCGAAGCAAGATCTGAAGATCTACTTTAAGATGCCCTACTTTATCCCACTATAAGTGGTATAAAGATGTTTTTCTTTTCAAATTATTAACTAGAGAAGATAGTCATTTAGATCATTGGAACGAAAAATTTATTGACGGATTATCCTATCTCTTTGCTAAAAAAGTTAAAAATCGCCTCAAAACGAAACATGGGGGTCTTATACCATATTCCATTTATACCCTAGGAGAACTTTCTGCAGAAATATGTGCTGAAGGATTAGCCCTATGCACAGATTTAAAATCAAAAAGACAATTAGACAAACAAAGAATGGCTGGTAGAAAAGAATTAGGTGATTTTTATGAACAATTTAGATATAGTATCAATACTTCTCTAAATAAACCAGGCAATAAGAGGAAAGATAAATCTTTTAAAAAAGAAAAAAGAACATCCAGGAAATATAAGAGAGAAAAATTTATCAAAAGATTTTGACCTAAATTTAAATATAAGAAAGTAAAAAAGAAAGTATCTGTATGTTATAAATGTACGAAAGTTGGTCATTATAAAAATGCCTGCAAAATGAAAAAGAAAATTGATACTATAAGACTTGAAAAAAATATCAGAAATAAAATATATGATATCATACAAATTTATGATGCAGATTCAGAAAACAGTTCAACTGAAGGCAATAGCAGTGACTCATTAATAGGAAATATTGAAGATGAAAATTTAATATGGAGTAGTTCAGATGAACAATCGGTAAATGAGAAAATGGAAGAATGCTCTTGTAATACACTAGCTAGTGAAGAAAGTTTAATATTAGATCTGATAGAGAAAATAACAGATCCTGATGAAAAAAGAGATATAATAACTCAATATATTAAAATAGCTAAGGCAAAAAATAAACCTGCACCATTAATAAAACCTGCAGATGAATATATTTTCTCAGAAATAATAAAAAGAATAAACAAAAAAGATGCAGTCCAAAAAGAACCAACTATAGTAGAATAAAAAAAAGAAGTTAATGAGGTAAAATTAGAAGTACAACAACTAAAAAATAGAATAAAAATTATATAATTACAAAATGAGATCTCAGGGGAAATCTCAGAAACTGAAGAATTAGAATTTGATCAAATAATAGATGCTCATACAGAACAAAAAACACTAATAGAAGATAAACCTAAGTCATCAGGGGTTAATTCTGAAAATCTAAGTTTAAATCTAGTAAATTGAATTATTACTCAGAAATGGTTTACTTTAATTAGAATTATAGTTAAAGAAGAATATAACTTCCAATCATTGGCGTTAATAGACTCTGGGGCATACCTAAATTGCATCAATGAAGGTCTAGTCCCCACTAAATATTTTGATAAAACCACTCAAGTGCTAAATACTGCTGATGGAAGTAGATTAATGATTAATTATAAATTATCTGATGCTATTATATGTAACAATGAGAATTGTTTTCCTACACCTTTTATAATGGTTGAAGGATTAAGTCAGGCAGTCATTTTAGGAACACCATTTTTAAGCCTACTTTATCCAATGACCATAGATACTACTGGAATAGAAACAACAGTAGTTGGACATAAAATAAAATTTGAATTTATAGATAAACCAAAAATTAGAGAAATAAATAATGTAAAAAATAGCATAGAAAATAAAGAAAAATTTCTCTGCCACCTCAAAACAGAAATAAAATACAAACAAGTAGAAGAAAATCTACTACTTTCAGAAGTTAAGGAAAGAATACATATAATTAAAACCCACATAGAAAAAGAATTATGTAGTGCATTACCCAATGCTTTTTGGGAAAGCAAAAAAAACACATGGTCAGCCTACCTTATAAGTCAGGCTTCACTAAAAATAAAATTCCTACTAAAGCAAGACCAATACAAATGAATGCAAATTTATTAGAATATTGCAAAGAAGAAATAGATGAACTAATAAAGAAAGGCTTAATAAGAAAAAGTGCTTCTCCTTGAAGCTGTGCTGCATTCTATGTAAAAAAAATGCAGAAAAAGAAAGAGGAGTTCCAAGACTAGTAATAAATTATAAACCATTAAATAAAATACTTCAATGTATAAGATATCCCATACTAAATAAAAAAGTCTTATTAGATAGATTATTAAATGCTTGTATATTCTCGAAATTCGACTTAAAATCTGGATATTGGCAAATCCAGATAAAAGAAGAAGATCAATATAAAACCGCATTTAATGTACTATTTGACTAATATGAATAGAATGTCATGCCATTTGGATTAAAAAATGTCCTTTCAGAATTTCAAAAATTTATGAATGATGTATTTAATCCTTATTTCAAATTCATGATAGTCTATATAGACGACGTATTAATATTTTCAGAAAGCATAGATCAGCGTTTTAAACATCTAAATGTTTTTATCAATGCAGTAAAACATGCAGGATTAGTTATTTCTGCAAAGAAAATACAGTTATGTCAAACTAAAATTAGATTTTTAAGACACAACATATATCAAGGAACAATTATTCCAATAGATAGAGCTATATAATTTGCTGACAAATTTCCTGATATTATTTTAAATAAAACAGAGTTACAACGATTTCTAGGATGTTTGAACTATATAGTTGATTTTTATGAAAATTTAGCAATAGAAGCAAAACCATTATATGATAGACTAAGAAAAAATCCTCCGAAATGGACAGAAGAACACACTTTGACTGTTAAACGCCTTAAACTAAAAGAAAAAGAATTATCATGCTTAGCATTACCTGATCCAAATGCATATAAAATTATAGAATGTGATGCATCCAAATTAGGTCTATGAGGAATCTTAAAACAACAAGTAGGATCTACTGAACAACTGTTAAGATACACTTCCCAAGCTTGGAATCTTACTCAAAAGAATTACTCTACAGTCAAAAAAGAAATTTTAGCTATTGTACATTGTGTTACTAAATTTCAAAATGATGTTCTAACACAACATTTTTAATTCACACAGATTGTAAAGCTGCTAAGGATATTTTAATTAAGGATATCCAAAATTTAGTTGCCAAACAAATTTTTGCTCGATGGCAAGCTATTATCTTTGCATTTGATTTTACTATTGAACATTTGAAAGGTTCTACTAACCACCTTCCTGACTTCTTAACTCGAGAATTTTTGCAGGGGGGGCAGAACTTATAACCATTATCTCTAATACTTTTTAATAATAATATGAATACTAAAGGCAAAGCACCTATGGACTTAATTCCAGTTGAAACCACTGGATCCCCAATAAGAAGCCTGTCACCATATTCACCCAGTAGTCCAATAATAATTTATCCCGAATATTCAAGCCAGACTCCACCACAAACACAAACTCCTGTATTCCTACAATCACCAATCCCTAAAAAAACCTCTTCTACTGGTAAATCCCAGTGCGAAGATATAACTTTTCTTGTAGACTCAATAATTGAAGACATACATGCAATGGAAGACCCAAATAGAATTGCAAAAATTTATCTATATAACAATATCAGCCCTTCGAATGATATTAAAACTAGAGAATGGTATGAAGCCATTCTACTAGAAACTGGCTCCATCACAATTGTTCATTATTACCACAAAAATACCAAAATGGTATCTTATTCCAAATTACAAATTAGAAAAATTTTATCTTTTAGTGAATGGAATTTAGATCCAGCTAAAGCAAATAAATTACAAGCTCCGGAATTCCCAAATAAATATTATCGACATTTTGAATACGTGGACGCTTGGCATAAAGTTTTAGCCATCCAAAATAATTATAATTCTCACACATGGTTTCTTCAATTCAAAATGGCAATTGTTGAACCTTTTTCAAACTGGTTTCGCAATTGGTTTTCAGTATGGGGGTCTGGATCCCAAATATTACCAGAACCTTTACAAGTATCTCAAGCCAGATTCATTGAATTCAATGGCAAAGACTCTAATGTAGACTATCATCTATATTTTATGGCTCTTTACCAGTTACCTTGGATATTAAAGTGGAATTTTGCAATCTCTAAAAATATTTCTAATAATTATGAATATATTCCTTGTATAGGAAAGAAAATATCAGTGAAGTGGTGGGATATATTTGTTTATAAAAATTTGGAGTCGGACCAAATTAAACTCAGAAAAATTCCTGAAGCCTTAGGATCATATTCTTATGAGTACCCAAATAATCTTTCTGAATATATAAGACAAATGAAGAAAAAAAACCCAAAAGCTACCAAAGAAGAACTTGAAAAGCAATTGCTCTAGATATTTGAGGAAGAAGCACAAAATGAAGAAGAAGTCAATGTCGAAATAGAAGAAGACCAGTCAGCACATGGTTGTTCTCAGAAGCAAACTTTGTACTAGGCCAGGACTCGCCTGACCCGGCCCAAAACAATCCCAAATAAGTCCAAATCAACAAGATAAACACCAACCGACAGAGAATAATCCACCTATCCCTGATACAGTTCCCTACTACAATAAAAGCTGATCACCTGTCGACAAGGAATCATCCACTTGTCCTTGCTGTAGGAAAAATATTCGACCACCAACATAAAAAGACAACTCACCAACAACCAAAAGAAGATTCCCTCTCTACTTTTCAGCCAAAAGAAGATTCCCTCTCTACTTTTCATCTCCACCATCCATCTGTCTTCCACTTCTCCATCGACAGCTGCAGGAGCATCATCTACCATCCACCTGTATCCATCCGGAGCTCCCTACGAAAAGCAACAAACTGATTACCAGAAGAATTTGAAGTCCATGCCTATAAAAAGAAGACCTCCTCTCTCAAAACGGCAGCGTTAAGATCAGAGTGAAGAGCGAGATTAAGCAGCTGAAAAATTCACGACGCCTTCACATTCTCCCGAAAGCCTTCAAGTTTTCTCTCTCTCCCTTCTGAGATTTTTAGTCTTAGTCCTTTCTTTGAGTGATGTTAGTTTGAGTGTTATGTGTGAATGTAATTTCGATAATCTTCCAAGCTACTACCCATCAGAGTGGAAGTTATGCTGTTGTTACTGCGTCTGTAAATTGTAAGTATGCTTCTGCTTTGAAGTTTAATTTGTCAGTTTGCATGGTAAACAGTTAGTTAATTTGTATGAGTTGTTAGTTGTTTTGTACGTAATTTGTATGCGTTGGTCTGTATGTATGAAGCATTAAAATGCAAATAAAAGCTATTTTCAGTATTAAAATTCGTCAAGCTATTTCTACAACTTGGATCATTCTTGATATAGCTCCCTTTTCTATTCTTGTTATTTTATGTGTATTAGTATATCTTGGATATGTTAGAATGATAGTTTAATGTTTCGTGGTTTTTCGATCTTGGCTATTGTTGGTATCATTTAAACATCTAATTGTTTTTATCAATGCAATAAAACATGCATGATTAGTTATTTCTGCAAAGAAAATACAGTTATGTTAAACGAAAATTAGATTTTTAGAACACAACATATATCAAAGAACAATTATTCCAATAGATAGAGCTAT